TGTAATGGTCTTCAGTTGTTTTAAACCTTTTGGTACCTGATGATTTTCTTTCTTTAAATTCACCACACATGGTTTTCCTTTCTGCTTTAGGTTGTTCATACTCAAGCTAAGGTGACAGCAGATCAGGAAGTGATGTACAAATACACGTCGAAGAATATTCTATTTTTGGCTACCGTTACACCTAAAGCTGTTGGTCCTATTGGTTCAGTTACCCCAGACGAGTCATCTGTAGTTGTTTATGTGATTGACACTGTAACAGGTCGTATACTGCACCGAATGACCCATCATGGTTCACAGGGTCCAGTACATGCTGTAAGCATCCCATCTATTATAACCATATTTGAATTTCTTTTATAAAAATTTACCCTTTTTAATCCCTCTTAATTGCGGAAACTGAATACTGAATAGTTGGTTTTACTTTTTAAAGGTCTTTAGCGAGAATTGGGTTGTCTATCACTACTTCAATCTAAGGGCACACAGATATGAGATGTCTGTCATTGAACTCTTCGACCAAGCTCGTGCGGTAATATCATCTACTGAGTCTTTTCCATCTCTTTATCTTTCTTTTGGTTTTTTGGAAAAAAAAAAAAAGAAAAAAGAAAAAAAATCTCCAGGGTCTTTACATTCTTAATTTTTCACTAATTGCAGGAGAATAAAGATATCTTGAAGCTTGTTCTTGGGACGCATAATCTTACTTCTCCAGTAACAGCTTACTCTCGGCCAGACGTCTTCACAAAGTCACAGTCTTATTTCTTACCACATTCTGTAAAAACCATAGCTGTAACATCCACAGCCAAAGGCATAACTTCAAAGCAGGTTCTTCTTGGCACAATTGGTGATCAGGTCAGCCTCTTAATAACCAGCTCTGATATTAACAGGTTCAATCATGTAATCATATTCAACTTTTTTATCTGTTAACAGGTTTTGGCCCTTGATAAACGCTTTTTGGATCCCCGGAGAACACTTAATCCGACTCAGGCCGAGAAAGAGGAAGGAATTATTCCTCTCACGGATTCCTTACCAATTATTCCTCAGGTGATCGACTCGTTCTTCCTTTTTTGTTCATTTTATTGTTATTATTATTATTTATTTATTTATTATCAAGAGCTTGTGCTAGTTTAATCTATAGTATTTGAATCCTAATGTCTTTTCCATTTCTGCAGTCATATGTGACACATGCTCTTAAGGTAGAAGGTCTGAGAGGGATAGCCACAGTCCCGGCTAAGCTCGAGTCAACCACCCTCGTTTTTGCCTATGGCGTGGATTTGTTTTTCACCCAACTGGCACCTTCTAGAACATACGACTCTCTTACTGAGGATTTTAGCTATGCCCTGCTACTGATCACGATTGTTGCCCTGCTAGTGGCCATTTTTGTTACATGGGTATGGTCGGAGAATAAAGATCTTCAGGAAAAATGGAGATGAGTTGAATAAGCTGTTCGAAGATCCCCATTTTGGCTCAGAAGAAAGGGAAAAGAAAAATAAAGGGCTCAATTATCCTCAAAATTGCCTGAGAAACTTGCTTTGAAGTGAACTTGCTTGCTACATCCACTTAATTCTTGGAGCAAATGTTGTATATTCGGAATGAAGGGTTAAAAGTTGCAAGATTCAGAGAATTAGTCCTACTTTTCATAGTTTTTCATTTCCAACGAGCAAAATGTTGTTCCGGTAGAATTTACTTTATTCACGATGATATTGTTTTTGGATTTCTTTTTCTTTTGGGTTACCCTCAGCGTAGCAATTTCTGATTTGTTAAAACTTTAGTTTTATGTACGTTCGCTGATTTGTTAAAACTTTAGTTTTATGTACGTTTGCTTCAGCTTAATCATCGAAAGACTTTTCTTATCAGTTGGCTGAAGATTTTCGTAACGTGATTTCCTAGTGTGGATCGGTGACACCAAATGTGAAATGTCACATGCCATCCATCGGGAGAGAACACCATAAAGAAAATGACCAATGCTCCTTAGAGTTGTTAAACGAAACGGGCGAGCTCAGCTCAAAGACTTGAGTTCAGTTTGGCTCGATTGATAATGGAGTGGAGATATAAGTCATTTAAACAAATGGGTAAATCATTTTTTTCGTTTGTACCCGAATGTTCTTGCCGAAGTAGCGAGAAATGCCCTCGAGAATGGCTAGGCTCAACCTCCATTTGGATTCTATCTTGGCGAATTTTGTGGTGATTTTCGAGACTCGTGACCCGTGACGTGGACCTGCGAATGTGGCTGCACCGGATCGAGACCGCGACACGCGACAAGTCTCCGTGACCGTCCATTCGCGACTTGTTCTGCGACTCGCGTCGTTTGATTTATGGTTTTGTTTGGTTTGAGCTGAGCAACCGACTTGTGGTTTGACTCTCATTATTTTGACTTGCGAGTGAGGAACCGAGCTTGTGGTTGCTCACCTGGCATTTTGTTTGCCGTTCATCGGTCGTTGTAACGCCATTTTTTATCTATAAATTTATCATTTATCGATAAAAAAAAAACATAAATTGAAATTCAGTGTTAATGTCATTTCACAATTTTTTTTTTCCGACTTATCTTCAATAAAACTTTGTTCATTTGTTTATTTTTTATATATTTTTTCTATATATTAATTTAAAATATGTTGAGCCTAAACTGCATAAATTTGTATTTCGTATTGACACAACAAATTGATTTCAACACCTAGGCTAGGGAATTACCATATATAAAACTATTTTATCTTTTATTTTAATAAATTACTTTATATTTCTTAAATTATCATATATTACATTTTTAAGTTCATTATTAATTATGTTTAAATATATATTATTCCTTTTTATAATAATTTAAGAAAAAATATTATTTTTATTTTATTTTCCATATATGATATAATAAATTAATCATTTTTAATGTCTTTTGATTTGACATTCATATTATATACAATATGAAATAATTTCATTCTTAGCAACTTTTGATTTGTAAAACTTTAGTTTTATGTATGTTCGCTTCAACTTAATCATCGAAAGGATTTTCTTATCGGAAGATTTTCTTAACGTGATTTCCTAGTGTGGGCCGGTTACACCAAATGTCACATGCCATCCAACGGGAGAGATTGCCGTAAAGAAACTTACCAATGATACTTAGAGTTAGAACGCAATGGGTGAGCTCAGTTTGTTAAGGCTTGAGTTCAGTTCAACTCATTTGATAATCGAGTAGAGATACAAATCATTTAAATCTTATTAGGTTAAAAGTTGGGTGGGCTTGTTAAGGCTTGCCTCTCTCAAGCGCAGAGATTTCTACATAAATCCATGCACTCTTTTAAGCCAGCCCCTCTCAAGGATAGAGATTTCTATGTAAATCCATGTACTCTTAACTAGCCCGGTTTAAGAATAGATATTTTTACATAAATTCATGCAGTTTTAGAGCACCTTCAATGGTGAAGTAAGTTATCTAATATTTATTGAGATATGAATTTGACGTTGACTAAAAATAAAACTAATTGAAATACACTCTTTAATGCTAATGTGTCATTCTTTAGTAGGATTTGCATCGATAAATTAATTAATAATCAAATGACTAAATCATTTTTTTTTCAACATGTACTATATATTTTGAGATTTACAGCCTACAATAATTTTCGTGGTAAAATGCAACATGAACTCCACGAGAATTCATAATTTACATACTCGCCTACATCATAACCATACATGTATCTATTTTTGCGATGATTGTATGATCAATAACTAAGTGAGCACAAATTATAAATATTCATGAATTTTAAGTTACATTTAACCACAACAAACATTATAGGTTGCAAATATCAAAAGGACTTATAGTATACACTGAACCAATATTTAACCTGAACCAATACATAAATTGAAACTTCATAACCTTTCACTACTAATTATGTCATCTTCACAATTTTTCCCCCCACCAATCTTCAATAAAACTTTCTTCTTTTATTTATTTGTTTATATATTTATTCTAATATTAATTTAAAACGTGTTGAACCTAAATTGCAGGTCGCACGCTTCGAAAGATTATTTGCCATAAATTTATATTTTGTATTGAGACATGTGCAAGTTGGTTCTAACACATAGGTTAGGGAATTACCATATATAACACAATTTATCTTTTGTTTTTAATAAATTACCTATATTACCTTTCGGTTTTTTAAATTACAATATATAACATTTTTTAGTTTATATATTAATTATTTATTAATATGTATTCTTCTTTTTTATAACAATTTAAGAAAAAATATTTTATATTTCATATATGATATATTAAATTAATTATTTTTAACGATCTTTAATTTGACATTCATACTATATACAATGTGAATAATTTCATTTATCCTTATAAATAAAATTTAAATTTATTTACGGAAAACCAATTTGAGAATTATCAAATTTAACTTTAAAATATTATGTAAAATTAAATAAAATTATTAGTATACCATAAAATAATCATTTTAGTGAATTGTAGATAGTATTTATTTAGATAAATACAATTTTATAAACGTAATTAAAAAATTATTATTATTGATAAATTATGTGTTAAACACGGGTTTTACTAAATAATATCACTTGATAGTGTTTTTATTATTTATTATACATTTATTGTTTATAATTTAACATTATGAATATGAATTATTTTAATTATTTTTTGTTGTAAAATATCAATTTTGTCAAATACCCGTGTAGTGCATGAATATCGCACTAGTAAAAATTATATGAAGTTATCGATTTTCATCTATCACTTAATTTTTGGTTTTTATTTTGGTGGAAATTTGAATTTTGATTTGCATAAGCTTTTTTCTTTCTTATAAGTTTTGAACACGTTGCAATTTGACATAATAATTTTTTTTAGTTAGTCACGATTTATTTTTAATTCAAATTCATAATGAAAACGATTTTTTTTCATATAAAATATTATTTATTTTATAAATATCATTTTTTATTTTTATTTTTTTAAATTTTACCGCAACTTTTGGCATTTATGAATTTATTATTGACTAATATATTACCATGGGGTTTGCTGAAAATTTACGCCGACTTCTAATTTCGTACCTTTCTTCACACCGGCGTAAATCCACGCACAATATTTATAAAGATCGAAGGGATCCTACAGTGAACTCAATCATCTCCACTTCTAGGCTTCTAGCAGCTTTTCCATGGCCGACAGCGACTCCACAGTCTCCTCCACCATCGCCGCCGACACAGCAACAGCAACAGCCACGCCGGAGGCCTCGAAGCAGCCGGAGACGAAGAGATGGGCAGACGTCGCTGAAGAGGTGGAACGAGAAGAAGCTGAAGCTTCGTTGGCCGAGGCTCAGTTGGATTCCTTAGCCATCGACGAGTCGAGAACAAGCGATAACACCCTCACCGATCCCGACGACTCAAGGATTCAAGCTGTAATCTTTGTTATCTCCTTAATTACTATATTCTGTGGTTACTCATATAAATGTTTTGGATCTGATTTTCCGTTCCTTGATTAATTCTTAAATCTACGGAGCTACCTTTTTATTCGGAGTAGACTTTGAACTTAGCGTGGATGAATTATTTGTATATACTTTGATGAGTTTAGTTCTTTCCAGGTTTTGATTGAAATTTTTCATGAATTAGGGTTTGTTGTGATCTAGGTTTTGTGTTGAAGATCCTGGTCATTTTTTCTGTTACCATTTTCTTCTATTTACAATTGTTTTTATTGAATAATTTTCTCAATGGAATGTATCGACTTTAGCAGCTATATTTATTTAATTGATCCGGCAATGAGTTAACTTTGCTTCATCGGTGTTTTTGCATGAAAATAAAGGTTACATCTGGGGATACTCCATATACATCAGCTAAGAGATTTGAGGACTTGGATTTATCACCTGAGCTGTTGAAGGGGCTGTATGTTGAGATGAAGTTTGAGAAACCTAGTAAAATACAGGCAATCAGCTTGCCGATGATTCTGACTCCTCCCCACAAGAATTTAATTGCTCAAGCTCACAATGGCTCTGGGAAGACAACATGTTTTGTGCTGGGTATGTTGAGCCGTGTTGATCCAAATATCAAGGCTCCCCAGGCTCTCTGTATCTGCCCTACTAGAGAGTTAGCCATTCAGGTTTGTTTAGTAGCACACTTTAGTTATTTTTACAAAATTCGAGCAATTATTCTTGCAAACTTATTAGCATGCCAATGTACATACTATCCGTGACTATATTTGTACTCATGTATTCTTGTCCTATTTGATCCTTGGAATGTGTGATGTGTTGGATTGATTGTTTAGGGTTGCACACTAGTACTATATCACCGCTAAGTTTCATGACGGATCAAATTATATATATATATATATATATATATATATATATATATTTAACCTTTTAGTGGTATTTCGTTGATTGATGAGGTAAAGATCCAAGATTTTCAAGCTAACTGTATTTCTCTTAGACGTAAGAGACTAACTTCAGGTTTTTATTGTTAGTTTAAATATTGACCCTGGTTAGGAATTTGAATTGCCGTGTTCTTTGAAATGTTACCTTTCCGTGCTGAAGGTATGCATTCTAGAATCTGCCACCTGCCTTTTATTTTATTATATGATCTGATTAGTTAATCGGAGTAATGTTGACAGAATATGGAAGTGTTATTGAAGATGGGAAAGTTCACTGGGATAACCTCTGAATTAGCCATACCGGCCGACCCTTCAACCTACATTCCAATTCAAAAGCGGCCACCTATTACAGCACAAGTAATTATTGGCACACCTGGCACAATATGTAAATGGATGCAAGCAAGGAAACTCGCCATGACCCAAATGAAGATTCTTGTGTTTGATGAGGCAGACCACATGTTGGCAGAGGTAATCCCTGGTTTATAAATTATGTTAGAAATTCAAATAACCTGTGTGCCCTCCATCTTTTGTTGTTTAGTGATTTCAGAAGTAACATGTACGAAGCATCGTAGCTATTTGCTTGCGAACTTAGTTAAAACATTGAAATGCCGCCCTTTCCCTTCATACTTGTCCATTTTAGAAAGTGATTCTTTGTCAGAATTCCAGTGTTCGGCTTGCGTGTCTTGTGCAACTTAATCATGTACTTGTTGACATAACATTTAACTGAGAGGATATTTAAGTGGAAATTCTATGTCTCAAAACTTATGTTAGTGATGTGCGTGAAAGCTAAGTCCACCCTGGTTTTGGATTTTCTTATTTTGTTTGTTTTTTTAGTAAACAAACTAGAGGCACATAAAAAGTATGATTTTCAGTTGTGTTTAAATGTAAGTTCTGTCTTAATCGTAGAGTGGTTTTCGAGATGATTCAGTGAAGATAATGAAGACGATTGTAAAAGGCAATTCGAGTTGCCAGGTAAGCTAACTATCAGTTATCTTTTCATAACTATGTTTGCCATTTTGGATAATGTGCTTATTTGAGAATAAAAGATGTCGAATTCTTTGATGTCAATATTATTAATGGCTGATGGCGGTAAATGGTGGCAGGACAAAATCCACCATAGCGCCCGCCATGGTGACCGCCGTGGCGGCCTATGGCGCTGCCTTAACCACCATCCTTCATGAATTTTAGCATGGCAGTTTGTCACAATCATTGCTGACAAATTTAAAAGGACTTGTTAATGGAAAAAAATTAGGTATAAGGTTTATTTTTCATGACTGTTTTTCAATTTTTGTTTATATGAGGTGTCTAGTTATGTTTCTCTAGTGATTTTTCATTTGCCCACCCTTGTATATTTGTATACTATATTTTTCTAAAACCAAAAGTGAACAGTGATTGGTTTGGGGTACATTAAATAAATGTAAATGATGGTGACATGACCTGCTAGGACGACAACTGGTAGGTGGGAACTTGAGGAACTTCTTAACAAAAGCTATCTTTAACATGTGGGAAAAGAAAATTGCCAATTTTGTGTTATTAATTTGTTACACTGACAAGTTAAATATTAAACCCTCCACTGTTCTTTATTTCGTAAGGTAAATGAGTAATATAAATTAAAATCATCATGAAGTCATGCACTTGAAGCATATTTTTACGTGAAAGAAGATATATCAAACATCGTTGAACCTTGTTGGCAGCTTGATCCCTGTTTATGGCTTGCATGGTTAACATTTTCTTGTAAAAAATTGTGTTCAGGTCCTTCTGTTCTCAGCTACCTTTGATGATGCTGTCCGAGCTTTTGTGTCTAAAATAGTTGAGGAGATTTTTGTCCGAGACTATAATCAGATGTTTGTCAAAAAGGAAGAACTATCTTTGGAATCCGTTAAACAGTATAAGGTCCATGTTCCGGATGAGCTTTCCAAAATCATGGTGATCAAAGACCAGATACTCGAACTCGGAGAAAAGGTGGGGCAGACAATTGTATTTGTTCGGTCCAGGAACAATGCTGCAATGTTGCACAAATCTCTAGTCGAAATGGGTTACGAGGTCACCACAATCCAAGGTGCTTTGAAGCAAGAAGATAGGGATAGAATTATAAAAGAGTTCAGGGATGGGTTGACTCATGTTCTAATTTCTACCGACCTTCTGGCTCGAGGCTTTGACCAGCAACAGGTCCCTAAACAAATTTTGCTGTCACTCCACCTTTCATTTCTTTATCACTTAGTATCATCCCTATGGTGATTGTTTATTTGTTAATATATTTAATTTGTTTCTTTATATCAGGTTAATTTGGTCGTCAATTATGATCTTCCCGTGAGATATGATAGACCCACTGAACCTGACTACGAAGTTTACCTGCATAGGGTTGGTAGAGCAGGACGCTTTGGCCGCAAAGGTAATTTTGTGGTCCATGTGGGTTTTTTTCTTTTCATAATCAATTTGACGTGTTTGGTAATTTCAGTATGGTAATATAGCCAATTTTTACTCTGTATCTGGAAGATGATCTCTCTCTCTCTCTGCCTCTTCCAAAGTATATTTGGACCTTATATCTAAGTGTTATTTACACGTGTCTAGATGTGTAGTTTCAGTATTTGTCTAGATCGTGGACAGCATATATCTTTCGCTTTGCCTTTTATTTTTATTTTTATTTTTATTAATTTTTTAAGATGACTGTATAGAATGTTGTACATGAGCAGGTGCAGTGTTTAACTTGCTTTGTGGCGACCGAGATGACCTGGTCATGGGGAAGATTGAGAAATACTTCAACACGCAAATAGCCGAGGTACATGGCTTTTGCATGATTTTTAAAGTATTGTAACTTGAGCAGAAAATTATTCGTCTTTCAAGAATCGAGATATATGAGTTTTGGTAAAGTATGCTCTCTATGAATTGCAGGTAAGCCAGTGGAATAGCGCTGAGGAATTTCGAGTAGCTCTGAACAATGCTGGTCTACTATGAGTTTGATTTTGTTCTTTATTTGTGTACCGACCACCGTGTGATACATTCGGTGTCAGCTTTTATGTCGTGAACAACCGATTTCAAAATCTCCCTACTGGATAGATACAGTTCTATATATTTCTGTCTTGGGACTTGAAATTTAATAGAACTTCGTCGGTATTTATTTATTTTTTGGTTTGTGGGGATGAGATGTGATTTCTATTGCTACGAACTGATATATCTGCTGCTTTTGAGTAGTTGAGTGTGTTTTTGAGGTCGAATGGAGTTTTGCTATCAGACTTGTCCCAACATCTCACGAGTGGATATTTTATCAATTGAGTTGAATTCATATGGCAATTAGCAATTGGCCAATCCATGAGTATACATGAAGTTATAAAGGTTGTACCTGTGAACGAACCGGAAAGTGGATGACATATATTACAACGGGCAATTTACATGTATACTTAATTGATTGATAAATAATTGTAAAAATACTAAATGAAAAACGTATTTGCACATTTACCTAACCTACCATAAATATTTAGATAAATACTACATATTAAAAGTATTTTCTCTCCTCTCTCCTACATATTAAAAGCATTCTCTCTCCTCTCTCATCCTAACAATTCTCGTTTATTACTCTCTTTCTTATTCCACATACTATTCATCCGTTTTTTTTTTCCTTATCTTCTCCATAATATTCTCCTTCTCTCCTCTCTCTTCTCTTTATTCCATTCAATTTAAATTTAATTATCTTTTCATGTAAATTCTATAACAAATTTTTTAGTTTATATTTAGTATATGTTACAACGAAGTATATGTTGAGTATAGAAGTCAGTATAAATTCTCATGTCCTGAATGACCAGTATATATTGAGTTTATATTTAGTATATGTTACAATATTCTCTTAATATTTAGTATATATATAGTACATATTTTGTATATGTTGTTGTCCCTACGTATATGTTACAATATTCTCTTAATATTTAGTATATATTTAGTACATATTTAGTATATGTTGTTGTCCCAAAGCGTAGGGGAGCGAGACAGCAGCGTCCACGAAACAACCAAAGCATGGACAAATTGTGTCAGAATTGTCCACGGTACTGGTTATAGTTCTGAATCGTTTTTGTCTAGCAATATCCCACTGCAAGACAAAAATTTTTTAAAAAATAATAATAAAAATAAAAATAAAAAATAGAAAAAAAAAAGAAAAAGAAAAATTGAATAAACCTTATTCCTTTAGCTTCGGAAACCAAAGCATGGACAAATTGTGCCAGAGTTAAATTGCACCCAATTGAACAAGGAAAAAACCAACCTGGATCCATAGCTAGTTTAATGGCAAAACACATTAAATGGTGAAGCTCGCAGAAAAGGATTG